CCCGGGAGTACGGGAAAACAAATGCTGTGGTTTGTGCAGGGCTTTCAGCATATACGGTTGCTTTTAAAACACAGTTTAACCAACTCTCCGGAGCGCGGGGTGTCGCTGCCCCGCCGGTGCGTCCGGCTGCCCGCTGTCCCACCTGAGGGCGGCTGGGCGCTTCTGTAACTATTTAAAAACCGGGGGATTAGCGTTCCTACTGAGACAGCTCTTCTGTGCTTAAGAATCTCCTAAGCACAGCGTTTTTGTTGTTGTTAGAACTATAGCGTTATTAATTTTTCATTGTAAGACGTGTGGACAGTTCCCGTGCGAAGGGAAATCTCGAGAAAACTTGACTGTCTTCGCGGTTCAGTCTTGCTTTATAGCTGTAGTATCAAGTAGTAGAAGTAGGCTTACAGTGAACACGATTTCTTACATTGACTTACCTATTGAGATCAGGCAGGTTGGCTCCATTACACGGGCAGAGACCTGCTGGTGAGTAAAGTCTCATTTCAGGACTAGGTAGTAGTTCTGCTATTTTTTCCTGCCTTTTTTTCTCTCCCCAGCAAAAAAAACCCTGTTGCTACCTTCTAGTGCCACCAAGTGGACATCTTCACTTGCCAGTAAAAGCTTTCTTAAAAATTATTTTCATTTCAATAGCTATGTTCAACTTTTATGGATGTTTATTGCTAAGTGCCACTTCTTCACATGATAAAGTATTTTCTTTTGAATCAAATAAAATATTTCAAGCATAACAGCATGTATTGTTTTAATTGCTTACCTAATGCCTTGTTGAAGAGTTCTGACAGCAGCAGAAGCTGACATTCCTCATTCTCCATGAGGATAATGCATCCATCCGTCCTTTTCTGCATTTTCTAATAACTTGACCTGGGAAATATCAGCATGTGAAGTAGCAGTTGAAAACCTGGTGGTTTGCTTACTCCTCGATTCTTTTTCCTTCATCTATATAGACTATATATAAAGTTATGAGAGTAGAGCAGGATGGGCAAGCTTGTTAATGGATCAACATAAAGAACATTTCTGATTTGAAATTGAATTTTCTACACTTGTTGTATTAGACTACTCACCAAATCTTGTGCATGCTAGAACTTGACCTCAAAATTCAGAAACAACTGTAACGGACCAAGGTCAAAAGACAAGTCTAGATCATGTAATCTGTTTAGGTAAGGATTACAGTTTCCTGTACTAACCTGGCATTAAAAAGGATTCTCAGAACTCAAAATCATAAATGGGTCTGTAACTGTAAATATACAGACCAGAGTTCTGCTGTGTACTGTTAGTCGTCTGTTTTGACTGAGCAGTCATACCTCGTTCTTACCGGTAAAAATCCATCTTTGCATTCTGACATGTTTAAACTACTCAATCTCTGTTCTGCCAGATCTGACTTGTTATATCCATATCCTTGGGACAGAAACATTCTACATATAGTATTACTAGGGGTTGTTTTTTTGTTTTATTTTGTTTTCCTTCCACCTCTGTGACTGTAAGCCAGCGAAAATGGGAAGCCCAGATGCTATTAGGCCAGTTACATTATGTAAATTTGCTGCTTCTTCCAGCAGGTTTCTGTCAGTAGTTCAGAGCCCTGTTTAAGGCAACCTCAGAGGAGGATTCCTGCACCCTCACCTCTCCTCCCCAGTGTAGTTCAAGCATGTATTGACATGTGAATTGCAGGTACAGTTGCCAGCAACACACAAACCTGGCCATGAGTGGAATGTGGGCAAAGGCTTCCCAGTCAGATGGCACAGGCCTGACTGCAAGACAGAAATATCCTCTTTCCTCCCCTTTTTTTTTAGATACCTGTAATATTTTTCAAGTGTTGGTAGGAATACTAATTTATTTACTGTTTTCCAGATCCCTTTCAACAACAAAATAATAATCTTGACTATTTTAAGAAACCTAATTGCAATGAGAACTGAAGTTCCACTCAGAATGGTAAATATTTCAAGGCAAATGTCTATGAAACCAGTTCAAATATCCTTGAAAAGAAATCTGATTACCAAAATATCGCTCACACCATACAGCTAAACTAGATCATCTTAAAACAAGGATTCTCATGGTAAACTTCATTCCCCACTTCTATTTCAGGTTTCATTCCAGAGAAACCGTGTCCTCATTTCTGTATGAATGTTCCAAGTTTATTTCATTTTACATTCTTACTGAGAGAAGTACGAACACCATCATGGAGATCGTGGATTTTGAGGAAGCAGCGATTTTCTCTGCCCAGAGTGCCCTTACTTCAGGCATCAGGAAAGAAAAACTCTTTCGATCTCCTTGGACTAACTGAGGCAGAATTAAAAGAACAGTTTGTAAGAGGTGATGGCCCGGGAGGTCAAGCCACAAATAAGACAAACAACTGTGTTGTCTTGAAGCATATTCCATCTGGGATTGTAGTGAAGGTAATTAGATTTTATTTCATTAAATTACAAATTGCATTACGTCCTCCAAGTTTCCATTCATAGTAAAGCATAATCACAGTGCAAATGTCATGGAGGAAAAGTTGATATGTATTGTGAGGAATCTCAGCAAGAAGCAGTTTTGGCTATCAGTAGATAAATAAACTTGAGGTCAGAGCTGATCCTCCTGGCTTTGACGTGCAGCACGATTTTGTAGTTTTCAATAAAACGTATCTTCATTGTAGCTGCCTTTCTTTCAATGGCAGCTGTCACATTCCTCTCCCTCTTGTTAGTTACAGTGTTTTCCTTAACAAGTTGATCATATTCACTTGCATTCTTTTTAAGCATTGCTCTTACCTACTTCTTGTGGATTAATACTTTGAAATTAATCTTTGCTTCCTTATCACTAAGGGAAACACAGTTAAGTTAAACTCAGAAGCAGCCCTCTAAGGTAACAGGAGCAATCTTGTTTGCTGGCAGAATTAAAGATTAATGCAAAACCCAGTCTGACAACTTACAGCTGCAAATAATTATTAGTCAGCCTCTCCAAAATATACAAAAGTCCCAGCAGTTTTTGGTAGGAGGATGCTCTTGGCTTGGGGCGGGGGGCGGATTTTCTGTGCTGTAGTAGGAATATGTAGACTGAAAAGGAAAGCAGAATAATAAACAGGTTAAAGTTCCAGTAAAAATGCCCTATTGTATTTCTTCAGTGTCATCAAACAAGATCAGTGGAGCAGAACCGAAAGATAGCCAGAGAAATACTGCAGGAGAAAGTTGACCTCTTCTACAAAGGTGAAGATAGTGATGTTTTTAAAGAGAAGAAAGCATCAGAGAAGAAGAAGCAGGAGAAAAAAAGAAGAGCAAAGGAAAATCTAGAAAGGAAAAAGCATTTTAAAGAGATGCAACAGTTGGATAAGAAACAAACATGTAAATAACTGACTTGCCCTTCTAGGGTAAGGGAAACGTTTGTCATTATACCTAAACAGTTTTCAAACTAACAGATGATGTAGGGCTTCATAAGCACCACTGAAATACTGAGTAGTGACCTGCTATTACTGTAAAACCAAAGTCATAAAAGCAGTCATGTATTCCTACTTCTGTCTGCTATCATCTCATTAATCACATTTAGCAATCGGTTTTTCTGCCAAGTTCAGAAGATGATAAACCAATCCTTGTTGAAAAGGAATTATCAACTTTCCACCATTGTTAATGGAGACAAAAAAAAAAAAATTCAATAGCTCTCCTTCTGCCCAGATGGTACCTTCCAGTGCTTCGTAGGAGTTCCAATACATGGGGAGAACAGCCCTAGAAGCTTATAACTTTTCATCCTTCCTCAGCCCATGCCTCTACTGACACAAATCCTTTATAAACAGTGACTGTGTTTAGACACTGGTTCTGATGGGGTACACAGACATGACAGAAGAGACACCAGTCACTGGTTGCCTCCTTCAGATTTGTTGGCTCTGTCCCGCTCAATTCTGAATTAAATTTAAAGAGACACTTTACAGATCTCACCCAGAGTGGTGACGATCATTGCAGGAGAAAGCCCTCCTGCAAGTGAGGGCTGGTCAGTTGTGTTCTTCCAGTTCAAAGGTAGAATGGGGTCATCACAGATAAAGAACAACGTGTTGGAAGCTGCCTCGCAAGGCAACAGAATCCAGCTCATCCAAGCTGTGAAGTAATTAACTTTGCTTCTTAATACTGTATTTTCTTCAAGTATTCATAGGTCCATATGTATTCGATATCCCAGATATCCCATCTTCCTTAGGATATAGATTTGATTGTACGATAGTGAATGAGAGTCATTTACTATGTTTATGCTATGCTGCAGTTAACCTTGGGCATTTTGGTATCTTCACTCATTTTGACAGTTTCCCATTTTATGCAAATACATACAGCTGCTTTTTCTTTGTTACTGTTACTTTGGAGCCACTAGTGAACTGTACTTTCCTATTTTGATCCTGTTAAGAAGTCTTTAATTGCTTAACCAGAACTTCTCTAATTTTTGGACAGCACCCTCACTGGCTGCCACCAAGTTCTCACCTTCAACAGTATTTTGAAAGCAATGGAGACTACTAGCAACTGTGCCGCCTTCTTACAGAGATTGCCTGCATCTGGACTGTACCACGGATGGAAACTGCCCAGCAATCTACAGGCCCGTCCCCTTGTCTGTTCCTGAACTTGAGCCTCCTGCATGAAGGTTAAATCTTTACCTGTTGCGAGTTCTTGATGGAGTATCAATCTGATTAAAGTGATTGTACATAGCTTTAATACAAATTGTTAATGAAAATAAGCTTTATTACGTCAAGTAATAAATACATACAAAGATGCAAATAACAGTTTTAGTAATTTATCCAGAATTTTCTTTTTTTTTGGCAAACTTTAAACTGAAATCTCCAGCCTTAATGTAGAAATTAGCTTTCCAGGACCTTGTTATTATTTAATAGGTTTCCCTATTTCCCATATAACTCATGCACTTTAAATGGACTTCAAAGCACTAACAGTCATGCAAATGTTTATGCAAAAGGAACAAAAAAGGAAAAATAAGAGGAAGGGAAGGTTATTTCTAAGCAGGGTCTATGCTGTATGACAATTTGTGACTTAGCAGACTACTAGGTACAGCATGCTATTCTGCATTTATTAAAAAAAAAAAATCCTTAGAGCTTATGTCAAACTTTGAAGGATTGACAGTTTGGGGTTAAGTGAATACAGTCAAAGGAAAAAAAACAGAATGCAACTGTTCCTCTGCATGCAGTTCAGTTTTCATGTTTTAGAAACATTTTAGGGAGTTTTAATGTCTTTACAAAATGCAAACCCTCATTAAGTTGAAAAATCCTTGTTTTCTCATTCTTAACTATACATTTTTGTAAGGGCAAAACAAGAAAGGTAAAACATTCAAAATAAAGGAATTTGTCTGAATGTTTCAAGAGTCAAAAGGAATAAGTGTTACTTTTTCTTCATTAAGAGATGGAAAATCTTGCAACTGAATTAGTGGGCTAGGATCTTGCATTTCGTTCCGTCTCAGCCAGGCATTCCCGAACTAATCCTCTAGCATGAATAATGCCTGCAAAAGAATTGGACATATTTTAAATTATCTCATTCAGGTCACACTTACAATGACAGTTCAGAGAAACGTTTACGTATTTCTGTCCTGAGTTGCCAAGGCTACCACAGCATGCCTCAGAAAAGGAAGAGATCCCTCGCTTCCCAAACATCAGCTGCTGCTAAACAAGTTTGCTTTCCCAACCTGGCATTATAAATTGAAAAGGGACTTAAACCAGGAATCAAAGCGTGATAAGATGTGAAGGTCCGCAGTGACAGGTATATCTTAATGTGCAGTGTGGGCCTATTTAAAATGAGAGACTTGACTAGAAAGAAAAAAAAAAATCATCTTACCTACCTGTGAGTTATTTTGCTACAGTGGAGTGAAAAAAATACAAAGTTACTTGGGGAGTCACTTTAGCAAGCTCTAGAAGTCTTAATACCTTGGGATAATTCTCCTCTGAGAGCATGCATCAAAATCCAAGCCTTCATAATACTACTTAAACACAAGTTGTGTCTCTCATAAGAGTAAGAAGAAAATTTTATGGTGTGTGCAAAAAGTTACCTCCTAACACTGGCTCAGCTCCCAGTGTAAATCATCACCACTTTACATGCTGCCATATCTACTCTCATCTGATAGACATAATGTGGAATTTTCCACGACGAGTCCTGTTGCCTTGAGTTCCAGCAATCTGGACCTTGATTCTTAATCCTGGAACTAAATCTAGATTCATGTTCACAGAGCTGCTGAAAGAACAGAGCTGGAGATTCATTTTAAAATGAGAGACGGACAGATTTTTCTGCAACAAACAAGGTTGTATTTTACTGACAGAACAAGATAGAAGGCCATTTCTCTGTTCAATCCTGCTCCTTAACAAGGTGGAGAAAGGACAATAAGGCAATAGATGAGGTTTAATCTCTATTTGTAGACAATTGATTCTGTTTCTAGAGGGCTGCTAGCCAAGATCACAGCAACTGCCTTTACATCCAAGGAGTACTGCCTTGGGACTTCATGGGTGCAAGACTTTGGAGAGGGTTAAATTGACACAGACAAGTAAAGCCGCATCCCACAGCTGTGGGATGCAGAAAGGCGTACTCAAAGCAGTGCATTAGATCTGGATCTGGTGGCAGGACGCCCGGTTTATGCAGCAGAACTACCCTGAATTATGTAGAACACTGGGAATTTGGCCAATTTTAGAGGTCAGTAGCCTCTGTGCTGAGGAGCAGGTGGAGCTGGGGACAGGGACGTTATTCAGGAATAACCTCCACGCCGCCATGGAGGCTGCAGTCACGTGGTTACCCTCAGTCACTTTTGCTCTCACACTTGCACATGCTCCTGCAGCCATTAGGCTCCCAAAATGGAAAGAGAGGTATGTTTGTGACCAAAAGATGGCAGCAAAAAGTATTTATTTAGGATCCTTTGCAACACTGGCAAATCACAGTGGCAGCATTGAATCTGAAACCTACATTAGCCAACGAACTAAATACTCACTGCAAGAAGCAGCAAAACAACTTTTCCTCACCAAACTGAACCATTCAGTTCAGAGAACGTCTGCATCTCTCCCGGTCTCTCTCAAGTTGTCCCCATTAGCCTATTGCCATTCATGATCTATTAATACTGACTCAGGCAATGCAATAAAGAGAGACTCCAGCAACATTGATTTTAGCTGGGCCAGATTCCACTTACCACTCATCAGCAGACTTTATTGCATCCTTTCCCAGAACAGCTACTAGTCATTTTACTGCACGTCATGGCAGATATATTACTCTCCCATAATGGTTGAGCCTTAAATAAAGCTTTGTAGTCTTGGGTAAATGTAAGGGGGATTTGCAAGGTGGTGAAGTTAGTCTGTTACAGTAACATTCCCGCTCAGAGTTGAATGCATGAGCCAAACATAGCACAAGGACCAAGGAAAGGGAGGAAAAGGTAACTACATTATCCTGGCAAAGGACAGAACTGCCAGCACAACTGTGGTCGATGGCCTTTCAGGGTCATTTCAGGAGCTGGAGCGGTGGAATGTCCCACTGCTCCTTCAGAAATATCCCTCGCACGTCCCCTGCAGAGGACAATGTCAAGCTGATGTCAGCAGTGGGGCATGCGGGGGTTTCTTTTACACTGCAAGGAAAGGGCATTTATTACCCCTTTTAGCTGACAAAGCAAAGCTAGAGAGACCTCATCAGCCAGGCCTAAAAGCTTCTACGTCCCTGCTATTAATGACATCTACTTGACAACAGGTAATGGCACCTAAGCAGCCCAATGCTCCACAGAGAGGAGGAAGATGCACGTTCGACATCTCAGTCTGAACAGCCTTCACTGACAACCTTTTTTATTATTCCAGTTCTTCTCTCCACCAGCGTTACTGTGAATTAGCACAACAGAGTATTTCTTTAGGCAAAACGCACTTTAGTAAAGACCCTTGGGTCAAGTAGATGAGGGACGTATATGAGAAAAAGTAAACAATGCTTGATTGTATATTTTGGAGACTGGGGAGAAAAGGGAACTGAAGGGGCAAGTTAGCCACCAGGCACCTAGAAGAAGGTCAGACACCTTAAGGGTACTAAAATAAGGTTTGAATTACTAACTGAAACTCCCCTTTTGCACATGAAATGTTTGGTCACTGGTTTATCTATCAAATACAGCATGAATAGAGTATCCCAAGGTTTCAGTTGCTTGTGAATACACCTAGTTTACTGATGAGCTCGAGACAGCTGTCTCCTTTCAAAGGAAACCACTGTCATGAAACTGTATGCAAGCAGTCAATGCACAAAGTGTTTGTGACACTATTTTTTTCTTTAAATAAATTTAAACATTACCTCTTTTTAGCCGCTCCATCGCACTTTTACTCCCAGCATATGTGGGTCTAATCTCTTTTCCTAATTCTTCTATGATGGCTAGAAGTTCTGCGTATTTGCTTTGTGGTACTTGACTGCTGCTAGTACCCTGTAGTCGAAAGTAGATTAATCTCAATTAAATACTGCTAAAACCAAAACAATTACAACAAACAGTAACTGGAAATTCATGGAGGACCAGAAATAACCCTGGAAGCCACTCTTTAAAAAAAATAGATTTCAGGTTTATTACATAAACAGGATTTTCTTTTTGTGGTTGCTGCTCCAGTTGGACACAACGCTACGTGTCCTTCAAAAATCAGGATCAACTGGGAGGATGCACCTGCAAGATTGGGACCTTAGGTGAAACAGAAGTTAAAACAGTCCTGCAAGAACAGTAAACTGAGAACTGCGTTCTTAACTCTCTCTCTGCTTTTATCAATGTTTAGGTGTGTATTTTGTGGGAAGTTAGGTAGGCAGGGAGAGTAAGAAACAGATATACACAAAACTGCCCAGATGATACGGGAAATCCTATTAAGTCAAATACATTTCACAGAAAGTTTACCACCAGATTCCTGAAGCAGCCCAGAGGACACAGACTTCATGAGACTAAATTTTAGAGTATAAATTTGCCAAAGAAAAACATTACAGGAATATTCATTTTATAACAAATAATTTTAATACATGTTAGAGCCCTTTACTATCAGAACATAACTCAAGACATGTTTCACTGTGACTCAGAAGGGATGGGACTAACAGTTAATTAGTAACCAATCTCACTCAGCACTGCTTAGTCTAATTTGATCCCAAGACATGTGTGATGAATCAGTCTGCCATTTGGGTTTGATTTCAAATCTTGGTGGGAGGGAGGAACACCTCAGATTACAGGCCACAATCCATGCTACTATGCAAAAGTAGGGTCAGAGATCTGATTAAAGAGAAACAAGCAGCAGAGCTGTACCTGCATCCCTTGTGTATAGCCTAGAGATGGGGGTCCGTAGTCATTTATAAGTTGTCTATATTGCGCAGATGTTGCCATACTTGTAGAGGGAGAGTGAACACTCCCAGCTGGAGAGAGAAAAGAAAAAAAAATGTTATTATCTAAAGATTAATTAATCTGTTATACTGGGACACATTTTAGATTGCTTTTTTCTAAAGCTGTGACTGCTCATCTTTGTCTAAGCCCACTAATGCCATTTCAGAGTCACACTATTTGCAAGGAAGAGAATGGTTAAATTAATGCTTCTCTAACATTTGCTGTACATTTGAAAATAGCACAGCCTGCAACATTATCAGTGCAAATTGTTTGCCTAAAAGTGAAACAGAGTATAACATGACAGGTTGTTCTGCCTAGACAAACTGTAAATATTAAGGAGCCCTATTTTTGCATATATACATTCCACATAGATGACTCTAATGTACTGTGCTATTTTTACTTTTTCAGTGCAAGTTATCTGAAAGTAATTTTGCAACTCAAAGTGTCATCACATGGTCAATGCAAGTTACCCTCAGTACTATTTTCAGCCAATGCCCAAACTATTCCTAGGGAACAGTCAGTTAAGGTACATCAGATCTGCTGCTCATTGTATGACATGGGAGGTGAAGAGTGCTACCATTATTCCTCTTTGTGTGGTATCAAACGGTTTTAGCCAGTCAAATTGTGTTATGTAAGTAAAACAAAGGCAAAGTAGCATTACTTTGGGTGATGGTTACCTTTTGTAAAGTTGTAAAAGATTATACTCAGACCTAGAGGGTTTCGAGTCAACTAAGAGTTCAGAAACAGACTCCAATGTGATCATTGACAAGCTGCTCCAGAAACGAGCAATCAAAACACTTCTTCCCCCTCACCTTCAACGGTTAAGAATTTAGGTTTGACAAACAACTTTCAGATTTTTCTTTGGGGGCTTAATTATGCTGCCCATTTCCCAACAGTGCTAGAGGATGTGCTGGTTACAGACTGTACGCTCAGGACTAAGGGAGCATTGCACCATTCAACTTGTTCACTCTTGCAGCTGAAGTGCCCCTGCATCCACTGATGCTGCTGTCTTTGCCTGTGGGCACAGACACAGACTGCCTGCTGTCTGAAAAAATCTCCCCCTTACAAACTCCTTTGCTGAAAATTCCCAACTGTCTTTCCTATGAGGAACAGATCTCATTTACCAGCCTTCATTTAAATCTAAATTAAACTGATGCTAAAAGTCACTGGGGCTCAGAACTATGTAAATCTCTAGCTTTGTTTTAACGTTGCAAGTGATTCCGTTCCTATTTTCCCCTCACTACAAAAAGAAAGAGCCAGCAGTTACACTGTAAAAAGCGCTGCTGCACATAGTGGAACAGACTCTTGTCCTCAGTTGGGAAGTCTCTTCCCACTTCAGAATTAATCACAGGATATCACTGTGGTGTTGTTGTTACAAGAAGAGAGGGTGTTCTTAATTTTTATCAGTTAACCAGGTGTGAAATCCTAAAAAAGGCAAATTGGGCTGGTCACTAGGTCACCCTGAAAAAACAAGGTTTCTCTTTGTCTCTAAGCTGCTAAATTTTATGGTATTACAATCTGCATTTCCGTCACTAAGGTTTCACATGGAGCTAACTGTCACATTCTGCTAAAGCATAGTGAAATCCCCAAGAACTAAACAACACACACATAGAGTACAGCGTTGTGAAGGAACACCACAGTTGTCAGCTATTCTCTGAACTAGTTCTTCACATTATCAGCTCAAAATACATGCACAATTGTAAAATTTCTGTATGTACAACTCAGTCAATATTTCAAGTCCAGATGACTGAATTTCAACAGTTAGCAAACATGACACAACAGCAAATCGCGTCTTTCCTCCAAGGACTTCAAAATGCTTCAAAAACATTAATGAGCCCCTTGTGCTGCAAGGTAGGAAGGTTTAATTACCTCAATTAAGCAGAGAAAGACTTAAGCACTTTTTCCTCATGTACAATAAAACAAAAAGACCCATCCTGCAAAGACTTGTTCCTGAACTGTTATTGCAAGCAGTCACATATAAGACCTAGGAGCTCCAAACCGGTTCAGAATTAAGGCAAGGACTCCCATGATCAGGCCCAGGAATCCTTAGCTGCAGTCCATGCAAAACAAAAAACAATTTATCACCACCATATCAGTTAATGATAATACAAGTGCAGATAATTTAGTGATTGTTTCAGATTATGTTGACTTAAGCAATGACACATGCTTGGTCTGTAGGAACTAACACAGCAGCTTATGTCTAGATAAGAAAGAAAACCCTACTAGAAATGCGCTGTGCCAAATCAAAGCAGTGAATCCAGAGGCCGACCAAGAAAGTTTCACAGATGTGAAAGCCAGCAACATACGGCGCTGCACCGGACAGTAGTTGGTCTCAGCATGGGAGCTGGAATCCAGCAGTGATTCAAGTCAACACTGAATGACAAAAACAAACAAGAACTTGCAGCAGGCAACTATGAGTAAGAACCTGCCGCCGAGTTGGAGCATCGCTCCTGATTTGAATTAGCAGTCAGATCAGTGGAGTTGCATCGCTTCAGCAGCCAGGAGTGCTGTATTGTCTACTGTACCCACGACATATGCAGAGCTGTGCTGCAGACACTAGAGGCCATTGCTGAGTACGGCATGCCCTGCCAAATGACAGATCGTGGTAACCATGGTGAGTTTACCCGTTTCTTTGCAGTCTGCATCAAAAATGTAATAAGACATAATGCCATGCGCCGACCACTTTATCAGCAGCAGCAGGCCCAGAGAACAAAGAAAAGGATTTGACTTGGCCATGGTACCAGCCTCCATACACCCATGTCAGAAGTTGTGCCAGTCAAACTCAGCTGGAGGGGGGAAAAAATGAAAAATCCTTGATTTCACCTCAATTTAAGATGATGCAATCATGAAAATGAAATTAATTGTGGCGGTATTAGTATCTCACAGGGTAACAGACCTTGAGCTTTTTGACCTATCACTTTATATGTTAATCTCAAGGAGAAGCCCTGGGTCTTGGAGGACTATTACTCAATTAACCCAAAATACATCTGCATGTCTCAACATCCTACCTCAGATTTAAAATTTTTTTTTTTTTTTAAATCAACAGCTATTGCTATTACTGTTAACATGAAAAATTAGGCCAGCAAGTCTCACAGTCAATACCCAGTCAAAAAATCAGTGTGATGATTAGGTATTCACTAGAGAGAAAAAAAGCGGGGGGGATCTAAATTGAGGCTTGCCCTCTCACGTTAAAGTGACAATGGAGACAAGACAGTTAAGAACTGACAGAATTGAAAAGGGAGTGTGCTTGGTACTGAATTTAAGTGATACCCTGTATCACATTCCAAATTGTCTTCGTGCTTACTGTTCTTTAAAAGCTAAATTAATATACACACTTTCCTCCCTCTACTTTTCTAATTAAATGTACACAAAACCTTTTATATACCCATTTATTCTTGTGCCAACAATCTCTTTTATTTCTGTATTTAAACAGAAGACTGCCAGAAGCATTTTTTTCACCACAAAAATATAGTGATTTTCTTGTTAATCAATATTAATCTTTTTTAATTGAGGAGGGGTGTCTAACAATACAGCAAACAGAAATGAGTTTTCTGTGTCAAAATCTCTTCCTTCCAGTAGTCTCTCTGAGCCCAAATTAACACCCTGGGAGACAAAGGAACTAGAATCAATCTTTGTTTGCCTAAACTCCCACTTACCAGGAATCTTCCCATTAATTTCTGATAGGTTTGTAAGGATCCTTTCAGCTCCTCTGCTACTGTCTTCAAGCCTGAGCAGCAATACCAATTTGCTGGTCTAAGTTTTAATTCTTAATTCCGTTGCTGCTGCTTGATGGAAAAATAACTGGCAAGGCAGCTTACTGTGC